AGAGGGCCAGGTGAGACCAGTGTGAGGGGTGGGGACAGGTGAGAGCAGGGCTCAGTGTGTGTGGGAGGAGCCAGGTGAGAGCAGGGCTCAGAGAGAGCAGAGGGCCAGGTGAGAGCAGGGCTCAGTGTGTGTGTGGGGATGAGGTGAGAGGAGGGCTCAGAGCGGGGTGGGGGGGTCAGAGTGGGTGGAGGGGGGTGGGAGCAGGGCTCAGGGAGAACAGGACTCAATGAGAATGGGCTGGGGGTAGGGAAAGGGAAGTTCAGGGCTGGTGCTTTGGGCTTGGAAAGAGCGGGGCTTAGGGAGAGCAGGACTCAGAAAAGGGCTGGGGAGAGTGTGCTCAGGGGAGCAGGCTTTTTGCAACTCCCACGTATGCTCTATTCCTGTCCTATCACCAGAGAGACCCGCAGCTGAGCCAGACCTGAGCTGTCCAGAGCCCACGTGTTGCCAGTCCTCCTCCCCTCACCTCCAGCCGCCTGTCTGAGGCCCTTCTCCCCCAGCCCAGGTCTGATTTGTCGTCCTTCTGGTCCCAACTAAATATTTCCCTCCATAAACGCGTGTGGGCAAACAGGGCTCTAAGCGAGGGCACACTGGCCGGCGGGGGCACCTCAGCCCGGGTCTCCCTCCCTTGCGCCCAGAGACCCCGTCCCGCCGTCGCGCTTTACTCCTCTGCTCTCCGGCCACCTCTGTCCTTGGAAGTGCCACATCACTTGCCAGAGGCTCCTCCAGGCCCACGCGGGCCCCTGGGCGCCCTGCCCCGGGGACAGGGCCTTCTCGAGGGCCCGGCCAGCCAGGAGGGAGCGGAGCGGCGGGGAGAGGCCTGGGGAGGCCGTGGCGTCCGAGGTCGCCGGCTCTAACCGGACCTTGCCCGCCGGGTCCCAGGGCGCATTGTCTCTGGAGCGTCAGACCTGCCCTCGAGGCCGCTGCGCACCCGGCTCCGGGGGCTCGTCGTCCACCTTCCCGGCCGCGGCAGCTCCGCTCGGGTCCCGGGGACCGCACTCACCGCCCAGCGCCAGCAGCGGCTCAGCCATGGCTCCGCGTCTCCCCGGCACGGAGTGCGCGAAATCCGGGGTCACCTTCCGCCCCGGCCCTCCCCGGGGCGGGGTGAGGCCCGGGGCGGCGCCCGAGGCACCCAGGCTCGGCCCGCTCCGCCCCCCGCACGGGCTAGTGGGTGCTGGACCCCGCGAGGACTTCAGCCCGACACGGGTTGGGGGGCGGACTCGGGGACCCCGGGGACTCCAGCCGGCACCGGGTGAGGGGCGGAGCAGCGGGGCGCCAGCAGCTGGAAGACCCCTCGTCGCCCCCTCCACCCGAGTGCAGGTCCCGCCCGACACCAGTATCACCCCAAAATGTGACGACTTAGCGTAAAGAAGCCTTTGAATTAAAGACCATCGGAAATGAGAAGCATCTGGCTGGGCGCCTGTAGCTCAGCGGCCAGGGCGCCGGCCACGTGCACCGGGGCTGGCAGGTTCAAACCCGGCCGGGACAGCTAAACAACAATGACAACCACAACCAAAAATAGCCGGGCATTGTGGCGGGCGCCTGTGGCCCCAGCTACTTGGGAGGCTAAGGCAAAAGAATCGCTTAAGCCCAAGAGTTGGAGGTTGCTGTGAGCTGTGACGCCACGGCGACATAGTGAGACTGTCTCAAAAACCAAAACCAAAACCAAACCTGTCTCTCAGGTTAATTTACAAGTCAGTCCATTTCCCCCGCTCTATCCATCTTCCGCCCCAACATTAAGCTGCATCCGTCCTCCACGTTCTCTCCCCTCCTTTCTAAAAGGCATCTGTAAAGGCACCTGACCACCATCGAGACACTGGCTAATCATTGTGATTTTCAGGAGCATGGTGTTTAGAAATAAGCATTTCTCTAATTAATCTGCCTGAATTGTAAGTTGATCTTTCAGCTAACTTTCGGGGAACAGAGCACGTTTCCCCTCCCCCTACACCAGCAAGCACCTGCCTGCACTGTTGAGGCCTGCCTGCCTGCAGGGCCTCTGCCTGGGAGAGCAGCGGAGATGGCCCGGGCAGAGTAGAGGACAGGTGTCCCTGCTGAGAGGGCTGGAGATGTGGGAGGAACATCCTGAAGGGCGGAAACAGAGGGACCCGAGCCCGCTCTGCCCAGTTTTATCCGTGCCTTGGTGGTGGTCCCGAGGCTTCTATGGACTCGTCCTGTAATCTGGGAGGGGAGGGGGGAGGGGGAGGGCTTATACTGACGCTGAGGAGCAAGTGGAGAAAGTGAGGCACAGGGAACTCGGAGCAGTCGGGGGGGGGACAGGGTCTGGAGCCCTCTTGCCTTGCTTAGTCCTTAAATTCGTATCTCTTACTCTCGTGGCTTCTATTTGCTTTCAGACGGGTACTCTCCTCCCCCCCATGAGGGGGCTCCTGGCCCAGCCCGAGCCCACAGCGCTCGCGGGGATGGGGGCGCTGCTGTACCGGCTAGGCACTTTTCTTTTTCTTTTTTAGCAGATTTTTTTTCCTGCCTCAGGTTTATTTGTACAAATAGCACAGGAGGACCCCAGTCCCATATAGACTGCAGCCTAGAGGTCACACCAGTCCTTTTGTCCTCATGGCAGACAGATGCCTCTGCTCTGGAGCCTTTGTGGGGGCCTGGGCACCTGTGGGAGCCTGAGCTGGAACTGAAGCTGGAGCTGCAGATGAAGCAGCAGATTAGGCCTTCGTCTGATCCTTGGCCTTTGGCCTTTGGCCGGCAGAGCCTGAGACCCTTGGCAATGCGTGCACGAGCACACTTCCCAAGCTTGGGGTGGGCGATGTAGGCAAGTCGACTGAGTTTACGGCTGGCACCCTTTGGAGTCTTGGTCTTAAGCTCCTTGGGCTTTACAAGGGCCTTGATAGCTTCAGCACGTCCACTCACGGCCTTGGCATTGTTGGCCTGCATCTTCATCAGGCCCTTCTTGTTGTGCTCTTGGCAAAGCGCATGCTCCTCAGGAACTTGGGATCTACCCCCTTAAGAGATTCATATCTTTGCGATTGGGGTTTCTTGATGCCATTTCTGTGCACGTTCAGGACTGGTTGTGTGTGGTGTGGTTCTTGGACTTGGCCATGTCTGCACCGCGACCCGCGACTGCCTTAGTGCCTAGGACCGGACTTTTTTTTTGAGGGGGGGGGCGGGACCGGGTTTGAACCCACCACCTCCAGTATATCGGGCCAGCGCCTTACTCCTTTGAGCCACAGGCGCCACCCTTCTTCTCCTTCTTTCTTCTTCTTCTTTTTTTTTTTTTTTTTTTTTTAAAGAAACGGGGTTCCACCTTGTTTCCCCAACCGGCCCAAAACTTCTGGTCTCCAGCGATCCTCCTACTGTAGCTGGAAATTACTGGCGGGCGCCTCTCTGCCCAGCTGGGCCAAGTGCTTTCAAATAGAATTTATTTTCCCTTTTGGATTTGCCGACTGAGGGCCCACAGCCCCAGCCTCTGATAGGCTTGGTGTTGTCTCTCCTTGTCAAGTAACTCAGCAGCACTTTCTCCTTTCTTTTATTTTTTTTTAAACTTGATTTAAATGAATATGAGAGTACAATTTTTAGGTTACATTGTTCTCACTTCCAGGGTAAAGTTCCATTTGTAGAAGAGCCCTTCACCCCGTGGGCGTGTTGTATGCCCTGGCGATGTGCGCGTTAGGTGAGATCCACATCGTGCCCTCCCTCCTTCTGCCATCCATCCTCCCTCTATTCCTGAACTGGACTATAATCTTGTTTTATTGTTCTTAGGAACACATAATTGTTTATATATTGATTTCATATTACTACAGAGTACTTTGGATATTTATCTTTCCATTTTTGCCATACTTTACTAAGAAGAATGTATTTCAACTCCATCCAGGTAAATGTAAAAGATGTAAAGTCTCCATCTTTTTAATGGCTGAATAATATTCCATGGTATACATATACCACAGTTTGTTGATCCATTCATGGCTTGATGAGCACTTAGGTTGTTTCCACAAGTTGGCAAGTATGAATTGAGCCACAGTAAACATTCTAGTGCAAATGTCTTTGTGGTAAAATGATTTTTGTTCTTCTGGGTAGGTACCTAGTAATAGGATAGACCTTCAATGGAAGGTCTCCATTTGGATGTTTGAGGATTCTCCATACCTCTCTCCAAAAGGGCTGTATTAGTTTGGAATCCCACCAGCACTGTAGAAGTGTTCCCTTCTCTCCACATCCATGCCAGCTTCTGGTGTTTGGGGACTTTCTGATGTGGGCTAATCTTGCTGGGGTTAGGCAATATCTTAGAGTGGTTTTGATTTGCATTTCTCTTATGATTAAAGACAATGAGCATTTTTTAATGTTTGTTGGCCATTTGTCATTTCTGGAGAAATTTCTCTTCTTTTCTTTCTTTCTTTCTTT